GACAGCTGGAGATGAGAGGCAGCTAAACGTCTGTCTGTCCGTATTGAAGGTAAACGCAGATTTGCCGTGTGTTTTGGATCAAATTTGATTCACCGTTTACCTCCTGTGAGTAACATCAGCGTATCTGACAGAGCTCCTGTAGTAAAGTCGTGTGTGCACCGTGGTGAAGTTAGTTTCACTCAGACGTTGGATATTCAGTTACACAGTGGGGATATTCATTGGCTGTGCCAATTTAATTCAATTTAAATGTAAGAAAAGTGAGTGAGAAACATTTTGGTGTCTACAGTTTGTCCCTGTGGGTTTGCTGTGCTCTTGTATGTGCGTCCTGTTAGTTCTGGTGTGTGACACTAATGTTTCTCCCCACAGGTCTGTGTGAGCCAAGGCCCAGTACTGGTCCAGGCCTCTGTGCCTCCAGGCCCCCAGACCCTCAGACCCCCAGACGTCCAGACGTCCAGACCTCCAGAGCCCAGACCACCCCAGACCGACAGCACACAGGACCTCACATCACAGGGCTAACACACACTAACACACTAACACACACTAACACACACTAACACACACTAACACACACTAACACACACTACACACACACTCACACTCACTCACGCACAAAAGCAGTCACTCACACAAACACACTAACATATACTAGCATTTCCTTCCACAGCGATCATGTCTCTCGAGGACCTCTTCCAGCGCGCCGCTCCTGCGGCGCGCCCCCGCGCGCGCCTCTCCTGCCGCGCCCCCACGCGCTGCCGTGCCCCCGCGCGCCGCTCCTGCCATGGCCCCCGCCCCTGCCATGGCCCCCGCCCGCCGCTCCCGCCGCGTCGATGCCCGCAGCTCCCGCCCGCCATGCCCCAGCTCCGCCATGCACCGCTGCTCCTGCTGCGTCTCCGCTCACTGCTCCTGCCATGGCCCCCGCCCGCCGCTCCCGCCGCGTCGATGCCCGCAGCTCCCGCCATGCCACCGCTGCTCCTGTTGCGTCTCCGCTCACTGCTCCTGCCATGGCCCCCGCCCACCGCTCCCGCCGCGTCCATGACCGTGTCTCCCGCCACATCCATGCCCGCCGCTTCTGCCATGCCACCGCCGCTCCTGCAGCGTTTCCGCCCACTGCTCCTGCCATCGTCCCCGCCCGCCGCTACCGCAGCGTCCATGACCGTGTCTCCCGCCACATCCATGCCCGCCGCTTCTGCCATGCCACCGCCGCTCCTGCAGCGTTTCCGCCCACTGCTCCTGCCATGGTCCCCGCCCGCCGCTACCGCAGCNTAACATTGCTACATTGGGGAGGAAAAGAACTCCTGATGAATCAACAAATGACCAAGCAAACGTTAGGAGAAAATATGGCTACAGTCTTGCATGTTTAAACCAAAATATAACAATGATGGTTAAATTATTCTACAGATTGACATTATTTATAAACATTCATCCTTATTGTTCCAACCTTTGTGGCTAAAATAAAAAGGCTTAAAATTTCATCTCTGTAATAATAATAAAAATAATAATAATAATAATAATAATAATAATAATTAGAAGAAGAAGAAGAATATATATTATATTTAATCATAATAATTGGCTCAACCTGTTTTGTGTTTATTTCCACTCTTATCTTTCTTCATAACCTTTTTCCCCTTATCTTGAGTGGGCTTATTCTTTACTTTTACTTTGTTGCCCTTTCTAACAGGAGCTCTCTGACCTTTCACAGCCTGAGTAATAGCCACAAGCATGGATTTGCCTTGGGGGCTTGATGGTGAGTGAGTGGGCATCCTGACTGTAGGAGATGGTGGTCCAGAGTGAGATTTCCAGGGACTTGGATGGTTTGGAGGAGTTTGTTTCATATCCGCCTCTTCTTTTGGGATAAGGTTGAGACTGAGGGAAAGGCGTCTTCCAGGGACTGGGCTCAGAGGAATCACTAGGTTATCTCCAGGTGCTCCAAGAGTCAAGAAGAGCTCTGGGAAGCTTCTGGGTTGGTCAGGGTTCATCAGTCCCTTTAAACAAATATTGAATAATTATGTAGTTGTCATATAAGTTATTTTACCACTTTTCTTACCTGTAAGGATGAAAAGCTCATGGACACTCTAACTGTTAGCTGGAATGAAACAAATGCAGCATTTACTCAAGAGTACAGAGTACCAGACAAGAGCAAAACACACATCATGTAAGATAAGATTATTAAATGTCAATGTCAGTGTTATTCTCTTTCAGAAAAGAGAATAATAGGGTATATTAATTATAGTACCTGCACTGGTGATGTCTCTTGACTGTATGAGGCAGATTTTGGAAGGGATCTCAATGAAGTGGGTTCAACATACTCCTGCTGCATGGATAAAGGTCTTGAGAATTCCTTCTTTGATGTGGTTGGTGTACTTTGTGTTACAGTTATCTGTGGTGCTTTTTTCTAAAAAAAAACAAAACAAAATAAAAACATTGAAATTAAGCATATTTAAAACCATATCAATTTGCCATCCAAAAGATTTAAAGGGAATTGACCCAAAATAAATAAATAAATAATACAATAGAAAAAAACTGTAAATTTACAGGTAATGCATCTTCTGTGTAAACAGCCTTTCGTTTTTCAGTTGATGTCCCACTTGTCCTGGGTAGGACAGGGGGATCTGCACGTTGATTATTCAGCTGCCTTTCAGGACTTCTAGAGAATACATCAGTCTCTGCACCTGTTTACAGAGTATCAGTGTATCAGAGTAAGAAAATATTACCAGACCCTTGACCCGTATGTAGTTCTGACCTCTGCCCATGTTATTTAAAGCACTGCCATTGTGTGTGGGTGTGACAGGGGTGCTAGAGGGTAGAGAACAACGCTGCTCCTCCATACGTCCCTTCTGGGCATGCTTCATAATTTTAAAAAATTGCTCTTGTTGAGCTACAGATATTTCCTAAAAACATCAATCAATAATTAATAAGATCATACATTTCATTCAGATCATTACCTTATATTTTCTACAAAATAATAAAAATTATTACTACAACTTTTGCAAACCTTTTTGCTGTTCTTTCTCCGATTTAGAGAAGAAGATCTGTGAAGAGCTTTATCAGAGTCTTTGCACTGAAAAGAAGGACTCATATTCTGAAAAATAAAAGGTGCAGAACATCTCTGCTCATCCATCCTGGAGCCCTGAAGGACAACAATTAGTATGCTATGTTATGCAGATCCAAATAACCTGGAAATAGTGATAAAATAAAAACTGCTAACACACTTGTACTTTAGACACCATGTAGCAGAGGTAATTTGCATCACTTTCAGCGGCATTATTTTTTTTGCCTCCATTCTGAATCCCTGGTAATGATGGGAGAGACACACGCTGATCATCAAGGCGATGACTTTGAGAAGTGGCAAGCTGACTGAAAAATGCTTCGGAATCTGGCAAAATGACAAATCAATTAACTGTCAGAAAAACACGCATATCTGAAATAAATGAAAAGGTAACACTGACCATTTGGTGGTGATTTTTCAGGTGTTTTTTTGCGCAAAGATTTTGGTGTAGCTTTTAGCTCACAACGCTGATCCTCCATTCTTTCCTGTTGTACTCGACTAATCATGTTAAAGAAGCCGTCCTGTTCAAGTAGATTGGGGCTCTATAAGAAAAGAAAACTGTTTAACATCTATGATGACAATAATGGGGACCAGATAAAATACCTTTTTAACAGATTTCTTGTTGGATGGAAACATGTCTGCATTTGTGCAAAAAGAGGCAGATCGTGTACGTTCTGAACCATTTATGGATAAAATATCACCAGTTATAATTTGTGGCAGAGAACATCTTTTGGTCATCCATCCTGGATCCCTTTAAACAAAAAAGTGTGGTTGGAGACATTTTATACTATGCCCAAAGTAACAGGATAAATAAAAGCACAAGTGCTTGGCCAAACACTTTACCTGCACTTTTGAAACCATATAACAGAGGTAGCTTGAGTCTGGATTTGAAGAGGTGTCTTTTTTTAATCCAGGTAATGAGGGTAGTGACACTCTTTGATCGTCCAGCCGTCTGCTCTGAGAACTGGCCAAGACATTCAAAAAAGTCTCATTCTCCAATCCTAGAAAAAAAACACAAGAAGCTAAGTTCTCTGAAAAATCCTTCATGTAAGGAATAATTACACCCTTTTTCATTCCTTTCTCTATTCTTTACATGGCTGATGTTTCTGAAAAGCTACAGAGGATTTTCAGACATGAAATCCCAGTCTATTTCAAACCGACAAACACAAGTAGCCAAGGTTGATACCATTTTGCTGAATTAATATCTAAGGCAAATAGTAATATCATAACTGTATCTTACCTAAATTTTGAATGGGTTTCCTCCGCGTGTTATGTGGTGAGCATGGAGCACTTCTGTTTGGATCTAAGCGACAGCACTGATCTTCCATACGTCCTCGTTGGCCATAATGGATCATATTAATTAATTTGTCTTCCTCATTAGGCACTTGTTCCTGAATGACCAGAAATGATATATGTGTATAGTATAAGAATGACATTAAAATTCAAATGCCTTATAAACCTTGTCATCAGCTGAACACTCAGTCTCAGAGGGAGCCTGTATTTGATTTGGTACACACTTCCTTTGTGCTTCAGGACTGCTCTCTGTAACAGAGATCTGAGGTGCAGAGCCATGGTGATCAGTGATCAGTGAATTGTAGTTCCTAGAAAAATATGTTTTAATTATATACTATTCTGACTATTCTTTAAACTTAGGTAAGTCAGTTCTCTGTTCTGTACCTGGTAGTTGAGCAATGACATTTGGTTGTCAAACTGCCCTGTGTCCTTAGGTGACTCTGTGAAGAGAAGCAGGCATCACAACAAATTCACATGTAAATCTGAAGCTCTTGTGTTTTTTCTGACCTGCTGGTGTGGACATGTTGAGATCTATGTACTTCTTTCAATTATTTATTAGATCTAAAAGAAATCTGTTATATAAAACTTCACAAGCCAGGTAAAATTATGATCTGTGGACAGTCTTATAGAAATAAATAACACCCAAATATGAAGTCAACATTATGCTTTGTAAAAAAAAAAAAAAAAAAAAGTTACTATAGAGTAATTATAAAAAGTCTTACCAGATTAAGACTCGGCTCTTCCCAGCTGCTGCCTTCTGTCCAATGAACACTTTTAAAGAAAATATATTGCTGTAAGGTCTTGTCTAAAAACCAAAAGGATCCATTGATTTATCAAAGTGCAAACATGACCGCATCATAAAAAGTATTCAGTTTGATGTTATCCCAACAGTATAAAGGATGGAGCTGGGTAAAAGGCTTTTAGAGTTAAATCACGAGTATTAACCCATTGGCATTAAGACCTGCGCCAGCGCACTGTTCCTAGTATTACCATCTGTAATCTCAGATGGAAACATAATCCTCTACATCAAGAGAGATGATCTTTTTCACTGATAGGTGTAGGCTACATGTTTTCCTCTTTGATCCACAAAGACAAAAGTTCACATTTACACTTAATGTGAGACTGTGAGAACAAACTTCACAATTTACTTAGTCAAAGAGCTAAACAAGGATGGATTTAAAGATACTATTTTCTAAAATATTACTTGTATGTTGTTGTTAGTTTTGTTTATGTAAATAAATACACTTACACCAGTTTCATTGTGTTTAATTTTCACCACAGCTGTTTCAAGCCAAGTATAAAGAGTGGTAAATACTTCATACAGCAGTTTAGACAAGATAAAACAGCACATGGTTTATATAAATATAATTATATATATATGTGTGTGTGTGTGTGTGTGTGTGTGTGTGTGTGTGTGTGTGTGTGTGTGTGTGTGTGTGTATATATATATATATCCTTTCTTCTAACAACAAATTCTGTGTATATTCCTGACAGAATGTGACCTGAAGTAGTAGAAACAAAATTATAAGAGAAGACAGAAGGAAAACAAACTATGACAAAATATAACAAATTATCTTAAGCGTGCACCTATCATTCAAGTACAATTCACCATGGCAGTCTAGGCAACCCATTTATTAATTAACATTAAAATAATCACTTCTTTATTTAGTCATTTAAAAACATCATATACACCTAACAAAGCATGCTGTAAGGTCCCGGGGGAGACTTTTCTAAGAGTCAGAGTTCGGAACTTGGTCAAGACTCTTCAGGTCGTTTAGAAAGATGGTGGGAGTCAATATGTGAGATGAACCTAGAAATAAGGGAAAACAAACTTTTTGCAGCTACAGCCACAGCCAAAGTCTATGTTCTGCATCCTGGGACCGAACTCTGTGGTCTGAACCAAGAGGTTTTCCATTTTAATATCTCTGTGGAAAACCCTTTTAGCGTGCAGGTCCACAAGAGCGGCCACAACCTGTGCAAAATCCACGTCCCCCATTTTGATGTGTTTAATGGCCACCTGAAAATCAGAAATTTGGACACCATTATATAATGGAGCAGAGTGAAAATGTGAAATTATAGGTACATTCATAGACAGTTTTTCTCTTGTTTTCTTTGACATGAAATATTCTGTATTTAACAATCTCTAGGAAAAAAAAAATCCATGGAGACAGACCCTCTATATGAAAAATGACTTATTTCACCTTAAGTTATTTTAGCTTATATTAACTGTGCATTTGAAGTTTTGCAAAAGATGAAAAGAATATATCTTACCGGTTGGTCTGATATTTTCCTCCTCCCATGGCAAAAAGGCTGTAGCAGATACCCTGCACTGTTAAACCGGGCTAAGCCAGGGGTGGTGGCTGAGCTGGTCCAAACATACTCTCTGATTTGGGTCCGGTGTCAGGCAGGCCTGAAGGAAGTCACAGCACTCTGCAAAAGAAACAATATTAAAGATGTGAGAAACATCTGTGTTCTTTGTGCCTTTGAAATTTATATTTCCCAATTCATGGTGCATTCTTTAGATACTGTCATTTGTGTATTGTTTAAGGGTGAACTGTGTAATCTATTTTTTCAGATGGAAGGACCACCACCTGCTTGTCTCCATTAAAATGTTATGACTTTGCTAGGCATTTTCAACAGTATGGCTTATAACTTTCATTGATTAAATTACATGTGGATTTACCGCTCAAAAATATGCTGAAAAACATGTATTGTTACGGTGTCCATGCAATACTGAGGAACATAGCACAACAATAACAGCAGGTTGCACACACTCCCTTGAAAAAGTAGCCTACTCATAATGCACTCTTAATGTTTTGTCTAATTACATGAACACTAAATCATAATGAAATAATGTATTTCTCTGCTCATACCTCGCGACAGGCCGCTCACACTGAGTTTTCCTTTCACCCAGTGTTTTGTGGTGAAATCTTTGTCATCATCAGAGCGCACTAGTTCATACAGAAGCGCCCCAGTCTGCCACACTGAGGTAGGACCAGCGTGGTAACCTGTGTCAGTGAAGGCCTCGGGAGGAGTGTATTCGCCTGTCCCTGAAAAACAAGGAGAAACACGTAGAAATAAGTAGGAAGGTTGATAGATTGCATAGTACATCTTTAATGATGTTGTATTTTAACTACCACTGCCACTATTACATTGGTTAGGAATATTACCTCTGTAATCATAGTAGGGCTCTGATTGGATGTTGCAGCCACAGCCAAAGTCTATGATCCGGATCCTGGGACCGGACTCTGTGGTCTGAACCAGGAGGTTTTCCATTTTAATATCTCTGTGGAAAACCCCTTTAGAGTGAACATCAACCAGAGCGTCCACAACCTGACACATCAGCACCTGCCAGACAATAAGAACATGCATTAGAAAAGTAAGAAAATGTATTGAAAATGAAAATGCGGCCTAAACTAGGTCTTTATTCTTCAAGCCACAACTTCAACTCTGAAGAAGTGGCTTGAGAAGAATTTATACAAAAAAGGGCAAATGAATAAGAGAAGACAACACTGAAAGAGCAAAGACTGAAAGAGTTATTTTAAAAATCGATTGTACTTTGTCTTCCAAATACAACAGTTACTAAAATATATATACTGAGATATCTGGTTCTTCAAATTATCTCATTTTTACTGTCCATTCAAATGTACTCACTGATTGA